GGAGCAGGGAGCCCGATGTGGGACTCGATCCCAGTACCCTGGGATCATGACCTGAGCCGAGGGCAGACGCTTAACGACTGAGCCACCCAGGTGCCCCAAACATTCTTTATATTTACCCACACACTTAACACATTTGGAACTCTTTATTTCTTTGTATCAGTTTGTGTGTCCATCTGGCATCCTTTTCCTTCAGCCTTAAATATTTCTTATAGTGCAAGTCTTCTGGCTAGAAATTCTTTCAGCTGTTGTTTGTCTGAGAAACCTTTTTATTCCACCTTCATTTTTGAAAGATGTTTCCCCTGGATATCAAATTCTAGGGTGATTTTTTTTCTCCCTTTCAGTAGCATTTTCTTCTGGTCTGCCTATTTTCTGACAGTTAGTCTCCTGTCATTCTTATCTTGGATTTCTGTACATGTCTTTTTTCCCCAGGCTGCTTTTAGGATTTTCTTTTTAGCACTGTGGTTTCTAGCAAACTGATTATGATGGACCTTGGTATGGTTTTCTTTATGTTTTGTCTACTAGCATGTGTTGAGCTTGGATAAACGTCAGAGTTGCTCTGTATTAACAGGCATGTGGGCGTACCAGGGCCCTGTAGGAGGGGGGTGTGCCGAGGATGGGATCTGCCATTGCCTCTTTTTTTTTTTTTAATTTTTTTATTGTGTTAATCACCATACATTACATCATTAGTTTTTGATGTAGTGTTCCATGATTCATTGTTTGCGTATAACACCCAGTGCTCCATGCAGAACGTGCCCTCCCCAATACCCACCACCAGGCTAACCCATCCCCCCACCCCCCTCCCCTCTAGAACCCTCAGTTTGTTTTTCAGAGTCCATCGTCTCTCATGGTTCGTCTCCCCCTCCGATTCCCCCCCTTCATTCTTCCCCTCCCTGCTATCTTCTTCTTCTTCCTTTTTTTTTTTTTTTAACATATAATGTATTATTTGTTTCAGAGGCACATTGCCTCTTGGCACCTCCACAGACTCTTAGGTTTCCCCGGAACACAGTTTGAGAAGCCTGGCTTTTGGGTGTTGTGACTTGCTCTCATAGAGCATTTCCAGATTTGGTAGGAACACTTTGTGTATTTTCACCCAAATCATTAAACATCATTTTCCAGCTAGGACTTTGTACCGGTTGTTTGTAGTGATGCTTTGCAAGAGGATTTGTGTCTCCGCATTATGCATTCATTATATGTAGGAGCCATGTGACCGTTTCCTTACAGATTGAAAAATGTAAAGTGATGGCCTCCAAGAAAAAGCCCCTGTGGCTTGAGTTTAAATGTGCTGATCCTACAGCCCTATCCAATGAAACGATTGGAATTATCTTTAAACATGGTGACGATCTGCGCCAAGACATGCTGATTTTACAGGTATGCTACCGTTAAGGAATTTTTTGTTCAATTACCTGAAAAAATAATTCCATGTCAGACCGAAAAAAAATGTCTCCTACGGATTCTGTTCCCATTCTCCTACTCTGTCCACACACGGTGATCAAAGATTCCGTAACAGAGAGTCTTCACGGGGGGGAGCGTGGCTGTGGACTATGAGATGTGCAATTAGTGAGCATCCCAGTTCTGTCTGTCCGTGAGAAGATGCACAGCCAGATAGGTCTCCCTCCCCTAACCCCTCTTGTACACACCCCATTCCTAGTAACATAAAATATAGACGTATTTGGCCCCCTGGCATCCACTTTATTTGGATTTATAGACATAGCTGTGCACCCACAGGTGCTCTCCTTAGATACATCACTTTGATATACATCCATATCCACAAACTCAAGTGAAGGATTTGACAGGAAGGAGAGAGAAGATGAACAGGCAGGTGATTTCAGAAATCGTGCAGTTAAGTAGAAAGAGTGAATGGATTACTAGAGCAGAAGGTGGATGGTAATCAATGTTCGTCATCTTCCGTATTCTCTAACATTTCTGGATCAACTTTAGCTTTGCAAACTGGTGTAGTAAATCTCCATATTCCAGCTCACCACTGTAGAAGTAACATAATTGCTCATCTTTTGTGTGGTTTATTTAAAATAGGCAAGCCTTGGGGCGCCTGGGTGGCTCAGTCGTTAAGCATCTGCCTTCGGCTCAGATCATGATCCCAGGTCCTGGGATCGAGCCCCGCATAAGGCTCCCTGCTCCGCCTGCTTCTCCCTCTCCCAGTCCCCCTGCTTGTGTTCCCTCTCTTGCTGTGTCTCTCTCTGTCAAATAAATAAAAATCTTAAAAAAAAAAATAAAATAAAATAGGCAAACCTCATTGATTTAAATGTGGCCTATTTAAAAACTGGTCGTGTTTTCCATTCTTTCCATTTCTGCTTGTACTTATTTCTAATACGGAAACAATAATACCTTTTGCTCTCTTTTCAAGAATCCTACGTGTATTGTCCCAGAAGTATTAAAAAGAAAGAAAGAAAAAGAAATCCTTCAAACCTTTTGAAGGTTTATGGCATTTCCCATAAATCTGTAGACTCCTTTGAATTATCCAAAGACAAGAGCTTCAGAAATGCAAAGCATCACTGTGCATCACTGTGTCCTTCCTCTCACTTTGCAGGGAGGTTTGCACTTGCCTTTTATGTACTTGTTTTGATGCTGAGGCACACTTCTTGGCAGGTGAGGGCAAGTTACAAAAGCTCATGAAGCCTTAGTCTCTCCACCTGCAGAATGGGAATGATAATCCTACTCACAGGATAGGGTAAATGCAAAGGATCGACATAAAACAGACTCAGTAAAGTAGCCAGCATTCTCATCACTGTTAGTGTTGCCTTGGGTTAACCCAAGAGTGCCTTATGGGTGAAAACTCATAAGAACGTCAGAGTGGAACATTTTTTGTTGTGGTGATAAAATACGCATAACTGGAGTGGAACCTCTGAACAGCTGAAACGTGATTACCACCTCTCCCCACACTAAGTCCATTCATCTTCTTCCCCAGAGTACATCTCAGGGACCAAACTTAAGAGGCTCCCACGGAATGGGAACTTCAGAGCACCCCACTGATAAATAAAGTACAGCTGTTACTTACAGAGTGTACGTTAACGTACATATTTCACGTTTCCAGTTAAGATTGTCGGGTTTTTTAAAGGAGAAGAAAAATACATTAAATATGTATTTCTAATGGAAACATTTTTTTGTGTCCAATGTCTAGATTCTACGAATCATGGAATCCATTTGGGAGACTGAATCTTTGGATCTGTGCCTCCTGCCATATGGTTGCATTTCAACTGGGGACAAAATAGGTATGTGGTCACCTCGGGAGATGAATGTACTGCTCAGCTCGCTTTAAAGGATCCTAAGCCCTTTAGTGCAAGCATTTAATACCTGGAAAATTACAAACATAATCCATATAAAAAGGAAGGCAGTGTTCCAAGGCTGGTGCATGTGTCTCTCGATTCAATGTGGATCTGTTGAAAATATACAAATGTGGGATTCCAATCCTGTGACTATACATGGCAATGATTTTAGTAAGAACTCATTCCCTCCTCTCTACTTCTCCACGTCTAAACTGTAGCTTGTTTCACTGCACATTAAACTTCTCTCTCACAAATAACATTTAAAAATAGATGGTAAGATCTGTCACTTATTTCAATATCTTAGAATTCACATTATTGAAGCGATTATATACTCGACTCTCAGGTGCTTTTATAGACATTTAACATTTTTGTTTCCACCACAGATATTTTTATTTGAGCTTCTGATCTGAGAACTGTATAAAACCACTTCCATTTGACCCTTTGATTAAAAAAAGGAAAAGGCACAGTTTGCCAAGCACCTACGCTCAGCACATACATGCTTTTACTTACTACTTTTTCTTTAATATTTTTATTTATTTCACAGAGAGAGACACAGTGAGAGAGGGAACACAAGCGGGGGGCGGGGGGGTCGGAGAGAGAGAAGAAGGCTCCCCGTGGAACAGGGAACCTGATGTGGGGCTCAATCCCAGGACCCTGTGATCATGACCTGAGCTGAAGGCAGACGCTTAATGACTGAGCCACCCAGGCGCCCCTACTTACTACCTTTTAAAACCAACCTTTCGGGGCGCCTGGGTGGCTCAGTTGGTTAAGCGACTGCCTTCGGCTCAGGTCATGGTCCCGGGATCGAGTCCCACTTCAGGCTCCCTGCTCAGCAGGGAGTCTGCTTCTCCCTCTGACCCTCCCCTCCTCCCTCTCATGCTCTCTGTCTCTCATTCTCTCTCTCACAAATAAATAAAATCTTAAAAAAAAAAAAAACAACCAACCTTTCATATTTTCATTCAGGGATACTGAAAGCATGTCCCACCAAACTTCCTCCATCCTCCTCTTCTTTCTCTCCCTCCTAAGAAAACCAACAGCACAAACCTGGACAACAGCCCCCTCCCATCAACAGTGACACAGCCATTCACCCTCTGGGTCAGGCACGAGGCCCCAATTTACATCAGATTCTGTGCCTCCTCCCATAGGCATGATCGAGATCGTGAAAGATGCCACGACAATTGCTAAAATACAGCAAAGCACAGTGGGCAACACGGGCGCATTCAAAGATGAGGTCCTGAATCACTGGCTCAAAGAAAAATGCCCTATTGAAGAAAAGGTGAGCTCCTGCTTTTCCCAGTGCCAAAGGCTCCTTACACGCTCGTCATTTATGTAGCAGTGACGGGTTCACGTTTTCAAAGTATCTACCCGTGTCATGCCTCCTGATGTTGGGTGAAACCTTTTCCTTGTGAGGCCGCGGGGGTTTTAAGTGCCTTCCTGGGGGACACGGCAGATCTGTGTAAAACGCAGGCGCTCCGTTCAGAATGCTGTGAGCATTTGTTTCTCCTTTGATGATCAGGCATGCTTTGCATAAAATTTGGCTCTATGAAATAATGTGTTGGTACTTTTTAGGACAGTCCATTTTTGTTGTTCAGTAGAAAAATGTAGTCACCGTGTACCTCCCTACCTGGGAAATGCCACCTATCCTATCAGCAAATTGCTAATTAACTGCCCCCCCCCATCTAAACGGTGAATTATGGATGCGGCAAATGTCAGTTCCAGCATCCTTCTGAAGGACATATGCTGCATCCTTCAAGCTGCGTGCTTGGGCTGTTTGGCTGTCGTTTCAAGTTCTGCCGCACAGGATTAGCACTTCTCATTTGCATGGTTAGCAGCCTTTTGGGGAGGAAATATAATTAGCAGCATTTATTAGCCTGCTATACATGTGGATTTGTGAACCTGTGCATACTTGAAGCGGTCACAAGCAAAACATGTTCACTGATGAAGGAGAAACAATTATGGGTTCTGTGGCGTTGTCGGCAAGCGATGCGTGGAGTGGAAATGAACCCTTTGATCAACTGTTGCTCTTTGACTTTTGTTTCCTCCGCCTGCCCTTGTGAGTCACTGACTCTTCACCTAAAACATAAGGAGAACGATGAGAAAGTCGGCACCCAATAGATAGAACGTGAATGAAATCAGGCACAACCCACCTGCTCTCTGAAAATGGTTCCCAGACGGTGCCTTTTTGGAAGTCGTCTGTACTTGACTTGGGCTGTTCTTTGTAGTTAGAACACAACTGATATTCGGACGCCTTCTAATTAGTTTCAGGCAGCTGTGGAGAGATTTGTTTATTCCTGCGCTGGCTACTGTGTGGCTACCTTTGTTCTTGGAATAGGCGACAGGCACAACGACAATATTATGATCACAGAGACAGGTGAGTTTATTTATTATTGTTTTTTACTGTGGTAAAATATATATAACAAAATGTACCACTTTGGTTTTAAGTGTAAATAGCTTTAAATGCTCACATTGCCACGCCGCCTTCACCACCATCCCCCAGAACTTTCTCACCTTCCCCAACTCAAACACTGCCCCACTGAACTAGTACTAACCCCCCTTTCCCCTTCCCTCTGCACAGAGTGATATTTACACAGGGTTCAAGGTGGGAGCACACATCTAGAAGTCATTACTGGGCAGGGACATAGACGCTGTGATCACCCGAGAGAGGACCCGGGAGAGAATAATGGAAGAAGATGCCAAAAATGAGACTTCACAAGGAAAAGCCAGAGAGCAGCTAGAAAGTTGGGTAGGGGCGTATACCAGAAGCTGGTGAAGGCGGGTGTGGTCAGTGGCGTCCGACGCGGCAGGGAAGTGACGACAAGGACTCCCAGATGTCCTTACATCTGAAACGCTCTGCCTTCCTAACCTACCCCTCGTCACTAGTTCACTGACTGCCCCGACAGTGGTCAGTACTGGCTACCGTGCCAAGAAAGGTTTCTCTAAGAACTCTGGACCAACTGAAGAGTAGAGCCTGGAGAAAGCACCAGACTGGGATGAATTGCTTACTCTCTGTGAGAAGCAAAAGACGCCACGTATTTATGGACCATACGTGTGATATGGGCTATCTAAACAGGAGATGATGGTAATCATGGTGGTAATAGTGACGGTGGTGGAAATGGAGTCAAAGGGGATTCAAAAGGTTTATTTCTATGGCGCCACTCAAAAGTAAAATGTGAGTGCCCTTCCCCCAAGCAGCGCCAACCATCCGTGTATCCTGAGTCACATAAAGGGCGTAAGAGAGTCCCGGGCATAATGGTGACAGATTAGCCAGAGCGTCTGGACTTAACAGTTCTAAGAATAATTCTGAGACGAGTCGAGAATTTTCTTTTAATGGCATTTGGCTGTCATTTAAAGAACACCAGAAGGATATCAAAAACACACTTGGTTCAAAGAGTGCTTTGTGGTTACACTACACACACCTGCTAAGCTGAAAAATATCACAAGCTGATGAAACAGGGTAAAAATAGCTCTCTCACCCAAGATAGCTCATTTTCAGGCATCTTAAAAAAAATATTTCAGGAAATAAACAAACCAAAGTGTTGTTACAAGTGATTGGGCCACTATAATGATGTCAGACATTTTCTTCTCCGAAGGAAACCTATTTCATATTGACTTTGGACACATTCTTGGGAATTACAAAAGTTTCCTGGGCATTAATAAAGAGAGAGTGCCGTTTGTGTTAACCCCAGACTTCCTGTTTGTGATGGGAACTTCTGGAAAGAAGACAAGCCCGTACTTCCAGAAATTTCAGGTAATTGGCCTCCTGCTTCCTGGCCTCCGGGAACACCAACCAGAGGGCGCCTACCGGGCACAGGAGCCCCCCCACCTCCGGCTCCACTGAGGCTTTGCTGCCCACCCTCTCTGGCAGACACCCTCAGTCCTCCCTGTTTCCTCCGTCCCATCCCCAAGTGCAAAATGCCACTCCTCTGTCACCTCCCACCTCAAAGCAAATGGCAAGCGAAATGAAAGCATTCCGTAATCAGTGGGACAGGCAGATACAGGACACTGGGATGATCCCTGTCCCGCAGAGGGGCTTGACCGAGGAGTGCCTCCAAGTATTTCTTTCTCTAGTCAAGCCAGGGCCGAGGACAACCAAATTTTACCTGTTCCTTTCAGGACGCTCAAGCAGGTGGGAGCTTCTCTTGATGTTTGCTACAGGTGTGTCTTTATCAAATTACCGACAGAGGGCATGGTGGCAGGACCATTTGACTTGTCTCCCGTGTGTGAAGGACAGTCCCTTCTCTCATTCGAAACCCTGTCAACATGTCTGCAGGTGGTAAAACCAGCTCTGACACGACGAGCTCTGACATGGGCAACCCATCTCCCCGGGGGGCTCACGTCCTCCTTTCCTTTTCATTCCTTCCTGGTCTCCATCCACTTTTGACTACCAAATATTTCAAACCCCCGAGGAGTAAAATTTTCACACTTGCAAATTTAATAACTGTGAACGAATAGAACTGAAAATTACTACCTAATTGCCACATACAATACCTACATGGAACCCCTACAAACACGAAACAGATCGGTGGAGGCGAAGAGTGAGCACTTGATCTGCGCCTGCGCCTTGGGTCCCCATTAAGGACCCCCCCCACCCTGTCCCCCAGCCTTAGGGCCTCTTCAGCACACTTCGGGTTGCAATTAGCGTTTCAGAAACCAATCTTTTTTCCGGAGTCTCTTCTTGAGTCGCCCGTGATCCTTGGGAGGTGGCCGGGGCCCTGCAATTCAGTGCAACAGGAACTGGGAGATGTGTATTGTTTTGAAAGCTGTCTGTTCTCATTCGTTCTCCTGGCTGATTTCGATTTGATTACAGGACTTAATCCTCCCACGGTTCCGGGAGTGTTATCAGAGAAACTGAGATCTCTGGGGCCAGATGGTCTTAGGATTTTTGGGGTGTGTGTGTGTGTGTGTTTCTGTGTAAACTCAACTGGGTTTCAGACTACTTCCAGGGATTTGACACATTTCAGTCCTGTTTTTCTTTAAAGTTAAAAATCACATATTTTGACAACTTCCTGGAAGAGAAAAATGGTTCAAAAAAAAAACAAAACCTGAAGAACTTTACCATTTAAAGAAGAGGGGGACCCTCAGTTCTCTCCCAGAGGAGGGGGTTCATCCACATAGCCTCATGCATAGCAGCAGTCATGCCATCGGGAGTCGGGAATGCAGGAGTCCGTCCTCACCGACAGGCTTTCCTGCTGTCTCTGTGTGTGTTCTCTTGCTCTCGCTCAGTGGTTTTCCCCAGAATGACTGCCCATCTCTCCTGTTCCTGTAGACCCCCACAGGGCCCATGCCACCCCTAAAATCCCAGCAGTATTTCCCCCTTTACTCTTCTTCGTTGTTAAGCTTCAAAATATTCTTTAATGAAGATTTGGACGTGGGAGGCCAAGGAAAGGTCGCTCCCTGTCCCAGGCAGCTTCGACCCAAAGCAACGACCCTCTGCAGGGAGCCTTTGCACTATTCTCTCCGTCTGGGACCATTGCTCTGTCCTTTGTGACCAAAGCTTCTTTCCCAAACCGCTGAGACCTCCCTCACCAAAGTGACCTCTAGGCAGTGTGCACTGCTAAAAACACACCTTCGTGAATTTTACTGTACTTACGTGTCTGTGTTCTAGAGTACAGGCCTGCAGTTTAAGTATCTGTGAATATATGGACTTTGAGCCTTAAGCCCAGATCCAGAACAGCATTGTGGCTGAAGGATGGGCTTTGGAGCAGGCAAATAGCTTGATCCTGGCTCGCTACTCAATATCTCTGCATGTGATACAAAGTACTCATCTGTTCAGAACCTTGGATTCCTCTTCTGTAAAAAATGGCAACAGGAAGACCTCCTTCATGTGGTATTTTTCAGGATTATCTGAACAGAATAGGTAGGATGCTCATCCCAGTGCCTAGAGCACAGTCGAAATCCAATACCCAACGGCCTCCGTTGTCACGTATATGGCAATGGGTCTTCGAACTTTGAATACTTTTAAGTTGAGAAGCCCTCTTAGAAATGAGAGCACAGGGCGCCTGGGTGGCTCAGATGGTTGAGCGTCTGCCTTCGGCTCAGGTCATGATCTCAGGGTCCTGGGATCGAGTCCCGCATCGGGCTTCCTGCTCCTTGGGAGCCTGCTTCTCCCTCTGCCTCTCTCTCTCTCTGTCTCTCATGAATAAATAAATAAAATCATTAAAAAAAAAAAAAGAAATGAGAGC